ATACTTAAATAAAAACATCGCAACTCCCAAGATAGAAACTTTAACTTAAAAAAATAAAATAAAATAATAGAACATTTTTATTATTTTATTTTTTATTATTTTTTTTTTATTTATATAATATCAAAGTAGAAACTTTATAAATACATGAAAGAATTTCTATATTAAAGATTTCTAACTACATTTGTGATATTTAATTAAGAATATTCTTTTTAAGACACCCAATATGACATTACATCTTCTATTTCCTAATAAATGCTTTGGTCGATTAATTTATCAATTTCTAGCTAAAATAGGTTAGAAGAAACCTAAGGTATTTGTCCTATTATTATATAAAATAGAAAGTTAGTAAGTAATTTTGAAAGAGCCATTTTTCAATAACAGAATAATTATTATTAAGTTGAATTGTAGTTGAATTTGTATTGGATAGTGAAGTTATAATAGATAAAAAGAGTCTATTGTGTTTGCTTTTAGAAGTAATATTATAGACAGTTTCCTATTGGTGTTATGCAATATTACAAGAGAACCAAATTTTGTTAAAGAACTAGAATAGAAGATTGTTAGATAAGTTTATAAGGAGAAATGTAGTTTGTTTATTTGTAAGTATTTTAATATTATTAAAAGTTGTATTAGATATAGTGCCAACAAGTAGGTTTAGAATATGATGATATTATGGATTAGTTGTATTGAGTATAAAATGAAGTATTGTATTTAGAAGAGTAAATAATAAGATAGATAAAATATTGAGTGTTGTTAGAGTATTATTAATCATATTAAAAAGTGTTTGTTGTATGTTTAGATTGTTTTTGTTACATTGTAGTATATATAAAGTATCTTCTTTATTAGAGTATTGAATACAAGTTGAAGTAGTATATAGGTATGAGTAGCATATATTTAAGTTTTGCATAGTAGATAAGTTATTTGTTAGAATTTTGATGTAAAAAAAGTAAAGTTGTAGATTATGTTTCAAGAAAACTATTCAATATTAGATATGTCATTAAAGAATTTAAGTGATGATCATGTGTTAAGTTTATTGATTGTAATAATATTTTTAATGAATATATAAATTTTAAGAAGAATAAGATAGTTATTCTATAAGAAATATGTAGGTGGGTTAAAGCAAGAGAGTTGTAATTTAAAATAGGTTTGTTAATGTCATGTTTTGCTAATAAATCAGCTTAGTTATGAAATGAATTTATAGAATGAGATTTAACTTTAATAAGATTAAGATTAATATTTTTAATTGTTTTTAAAGAATTAATTTTAAACAGAATGTCTCAGTTTTTTGTTAAATTAATTTGGTTAAGGTAAATAAAGTAATATTTTTGATGGCTGTTGAATTGTCAATATAAATATTGAATAAGGTATTAAAGAGTATAACAAGTAGAATAGATATGATTGACATTAGTTCTATATGACTAGAATCAGAAAAGAGTTAGGTTGCTATATTGAATTTGATAAAAGTATTTTCTTTACAGATCTATTTAATACCAGACCTTATAGAAGGTGTTTTTAGGTTTTAAATAGAAGTATCTGTATAGAAGTTGAGTTCTGTTAAATATAGATTTTATAAAAGAGAGTTGAGATTGATGAGTTGATTTTGATAGTTGGTAGAGTCAGTAGTTTGTTGTATAAGTTGAATATCCTGAGTGTTTAAGTTTATTTAAGAAAGTAATTGTTTAGAAGATAGTATAACAAGATTGGTAAATATGTGGATTAGGGCCAAAATTTCTTTATAGTCAATTTGTAAAATGAGAGGATTATTGTAGGTTTTAATTTAATGATAAGGAAGATTAAAACAGTTAAAATTTGTTAGTAATAATAAGGTGATTAGTTTTAGATAGATTTTGTTTGTAGAATAATTATCTATTGTATAGTATAAAGAAGTTTGAATATTGTTATATTATAAAAAAATAATGTCAAAGTTATTTGTATAGTATAATTGAAAAAATGAAAAGTGTTGAAGGTTAGATGGTATATAGAAAAGGTTTAATGAATTTAAAAAAGAATTAGTAGTTGATAAGTTTAAATAAAACCAGATAGCTGAAATTGTATTATTATATACAGTTTGTTAAATTAGAGTAAACCAAGAAGATTAATAACTCTTTATTGATTTGTTTATTCATAGATATATATTGCTCTAAAAAAGAAGATAAAGGTTATCAACAGTAGTGATTTGTTCAATATAGAGAATTTTATTGTTTTTAAGACTATTGAGCATTAATATAGATGGGTTTGAAAGGAATATGTCATATATTAGATAAGAATTAGTTAATTATGTTATGGTATTATTAGTAATTTGTATAATATTGAAGAGTATAATATTATTTTTTGTAATTTATGAAAGATAGAATATTAAGATATAGTTATATGTTTTATGATAGTGCTTAATAAGTATATTAGTTGATAATTCAGGATACCATATTTTGTCAATCATGATTTGATGTAAATAGTTTCAATATTGTGAAGAAGTGTAATAGAATTAAAGATTCATTCAATATTTGATGTACTGACTTTTTGAATAATATTATTAAATGTTGAAAAATTGAAAATAAGTAGATTGGTTAGTATAATATTGTTGGTATTTTTTGCTAAAGAAATCATCTTTTTTGTTTGAATAGAAAGTAGTTTTGAAAGTTTGGTTTGATTTAATGTATTAATAATAGTAATTTGAAGAAGATATTTAAGTAAAGGTTATAGAACAAGATTAAAAAGAGAGGATGTTTGGGATAATGTAAGTTTTTTTGTTTGATAAGTTGAAGAAAATTTTTAATTTTGTTGTTGATCATGTCCATAGTAGGTTTAGTTGTATCATTTTCATTATAATATATTCCAAGATACCTGATTATATTTTCAGATTTTCTTGATATAATAGGTTAATTGTTGAAGAATAATAGAAAAGAAAATATGTTAAAAGATTTTGGATGTATATGTAATAGGTCTGATTTATTTGGATTGATTTTAATGTTATTAAATTAATATAATAAGGATGTATCATTAAGAATATTTTGTAGAATTTGTAGATCTTTACAATACCATACTGTATTATCTATAAAGGCAAGAAGAGATATAATAATAGATATAGGATTGTTATTTTATATAAGATCTTTTGATAATAATAAGAATATATGGAATAGTTGGTTGTAATATTTTTGTGAGATAAAGGATAGAATAAGATCATAATATATTTTTTATAATAATGAAAAATATGTTTCTTCTTATTCTATATCAGATTTTAAATAAACTAGATTTGAGAATCTATAAGTTATGATAACTTTTGTAGTTCAGTTTGTATATAGTTCTGTGATTAGATCTTTTTTTTTTTAAAATACTAATTCTTTTATAGAAGTTTTAAAGTCAGAGGATATTGATTTTATCAAATGCTTTTAATATGTCTTGAAAAAAGATCTAGTCTTTTTTATTATAAAATTTATAGTCTTTAATTATGTTGTGAAGAATTTGAATAAGAATATAAATAAATGAGTTTTTGATTACAGCAAAATTGAAGTCTAAAAGTAGATTATTGGATGAGATGATTTTGTTTAATCATTGAATAAAGATTTTGTAAGGTTTTTTTAAAAGGTTCAATGATGAATATTGAACAAATTTGATTAAGAATGAAATCCTAATTAGATTTTTTTGGAATTAGAAAGAGATTTGAAGATTTCCAAACATTATTTTATTTTTAATTATAAAGATTAAAAATAAAATAATAAAATTAGTTTATTATTTTGCTAATATGTTACTATTATGTTACTAATATTAACAAACCATTTGTTATTTTATTGTTATTCTACTATTATGTTGCTATTATATTACCATTATTTGATATATAAGTAATAAAAAAGAAAAACATGTAAATCATCTTATTCAATAAGTGAAATGATTTACAGGTTTCTCTTTTCATCACTCATATATAAAATAAAATAATAATAAATTTTTTTCTATTATTTAACCTTTATTAATTTTTATTTACTTTTTTGATCTATGTTAATGAAGTTAATACAAAATGCAAGTTTAGAGGATTTAAATGAAACACTCAAACAAGAATGTTAAGTATAACAATTGGTAAAGAATCTTTGAATAAACTCCTTAAATAGATAATATAAAAAAATTATATGTGTAACCAATTGTATACTCTTTCTGTAGTAGTTCCATGTGAACATGCTAAATCCAAGGACACGGAACGTCATATGACGGACTTAATGAAGCATGTGTTATCTCACGAGTTCGGTGACATATAGGGGCCACATGATCTTTGCAGAATGGTAACTCTGAGATATAACAGATCTTAAAGGTGTCTAAGGACAGCGAGGGGAGTTGAAAAAAAACCTAACTAATTAGTCGGTGCGAGGTGTTCTAAATACCAACTTCAACATGAAAAATTTGGCGTTAAAAATTTTTATATACAAACTTATAATCAGTAAAACGTAATAAAAGCATATAATAGGTGCTAAACCATCATAGGTGCGTTTGATGATGTGATTAATAAATTGTACAATAAATAATGGTTTAACTTCTTTCAAGATATGAAGATTTTCTTAGAAACAGATATAAATTTGAATGCATGGTGTTAGATAACTTATATTACAAACTTTTTGCCATTAATGAACTATTGAATAAGCTGTTTTTCAAATTTACATTGAGATGACATTTGAATAATTTGAATAACAATATTTCAAAAAAATTTTCAATGAACTAAACTTGAGCTAGATCTTAGTCGCTAAATTAATTTTTTAATTTAATTGCTGATAATTCATTTAATTCAACATAATATTAACTGCTAATAATGTCTGATATTAGTAACAAGTTATAAACAATAATTTTTATTATAGCTAAAAATTCGGAAGCCCATCGCTAGGCACGTACGTACTTATAGAAATCATGTGACGAAAGGCGAATCACATAGTACACGATATATTTAAAAATTAGCATATACCCGTGATTTAGCTATTAATTCAGCCAGCTTGAATTATGATATATTAAGCATCAAGGTAAACGCTTTACACCTGGATTCCAAGATTAATTTGAACAGTCTTCACTTGAGTATATTGGTCTAACGCGTATTTTCCAAGTTCACGACCAGCACCAGACTCTTTGTAACCTCCAAATGGACTTTTTATAAAGAATTATGTTAAAAATAAAATATACATGAATATAACAAATCTGCAAATTGAATCGACAATTTTCTTACGTATTGGCATCAACTAAATTATAGCAGTTAACTATAAGATGATAAAATTAGTTCACAATATTAAATAATCCGGTAATGGATAGATATTACATAAGAATTTTACAAAAGCTTTACCCCATACTGTGCCAGCTTTCAACGTATTTGAGATTTTTATTGCACGAGTGATATCTTTAGTGAACACTGCAGCAGCTAATCCGTATTTTGTCAGGTGAGCCTTTTTGATAACTTCCTCGATAGTTTTGAATTTTGAGACAGATACAACTGGACCAAATATTTCTTCCTGCATTATCTTCATTTCTTCATTCTTAAAAAGAAATCCGTTATTATATACAATTTATGCAATAATGGACAATATCTCTACAAGATAAAACTTTACCACGTTGGTGAAAATTGTTGGTTTGATAAAATAACCTTGTTCGCCATGCCTTTCACCACCCATCAATAAAGTAGCACCTTCTTTCTTGCCAGTTTCAATATAAGACATAATTCTAAATCGATGCTGAATTAATAAGAGATAATTAAATAGTTACTACACAAAAATCATAAAATACTTGTTAAATTGCTGCAGAGAAATTTGAGGGCCTTGATAAGTATCTTTATGAAAAGGATCACCAATTTCAATGCTCAGTGCATGTTCTTTGAATTTATTAATGAATTCATCATAAATAGAATCTTCAACATAAACTCGAGAACCAGCGCAACAACATTGACCACTATCATAGAAGGCACCCATATGAGCCCATTTGACAGCCTGATCAAGATTCGAATCGGCAAATATAATACTAGGGGATTTTCCACCTAATTCTAAGGATACATTTTTCAAGTTACTATCAGCAGAAGCTTTCAATATAGATTTTCCTACGGCGTTTGACCCTTATAGGAAAAAACTCGTTACTTTTACCAACATTTTAGATGAATTAGATCAATTCAGACTATAGTTAATGGTAGAATTATTGAATTACAGCATTCGGTAAAATTATTTACAGCACTGCCGCAAAGCTTATATGTCGTATTGCTATAATGCTATATTGACGTTTTGCAGCGACAGTTAACACTTCATAAATAATTCTTTAAGGTAGAAATACTGATGAGTAAAATAAAAATAATTATTTTCATACTGTTACTGATAAATCGAAGTATTAACCCGAAGTCAATTTCTCTTTAACTTAGCTGCGGTAACGTAATATTTAAAAGGTTCTTGAATAAATATGTGCGAAATTTTAGAAAGAAAATTTTTTGCCATTTTTTTTTGTTTCATTTACAGCAATGCGTCATTATGCAGCACTAGAATTATATGCAGTAATTATAATAATTTTCTAAATAAATTCTACCATCATCTAGTTTAAGCATACCAGTAAAAGATATTTTATCTACTTTCATATGAGAGGCGATAGCAGTACCGGCAGTAGGACCAAAACCGGACAAAACGTTCACGACGCCTTTTGGAAATCCGGCTTCTTTACATAACGCAGCAACTTTTAAGGCAGTCAAAGGGGTTAGTTCAGATGACTTGAGAACAATAGTATTTCCTATATATAATAGCAAAAAAATTAGAAAGTATTAAAGGTAAAATCTTATTGTATTATAAATAATATTTATACCACTTGCTAAAGCTGGTGCCATTTTCCACGCTTGCATTTCAAGAGGATAATTCCAAGGAATAATTGCGCCACAGACACCAAAAGGTTCATGACGAGTATAACAGAACTTATTATGCTGGGTCTCAATAACCTAAGACAAAATGAATGAATACACTATGCACTAGTTAATAAAACTGAAATGTTAAAGTTAAACAACCTTGCCATGAATCTTGTCACACCATCCTGCAAAGTATCTATAACACGAAATTGCACCTGGAAGATCATTGGCTTTTGCAGAGAGAAAAGGTTTTCCATTATCTAAAGCTTCAAGTGCAGCTAATTCTTCAAGGTCGCGCTCCATTAGATTTGCGAGTTTATTGATCAATTTTCCACGTTCCTTGCCATCCACATTACACCACACATCACTAAAAGCACTTGCAGCAGCTTCAACAGCAATGTCAACATCTCTTTCTGATGCTTCAGCTACTGAAGTAATAACTTTTCCTGTTGCAGGATTGATGGTCTCAAACAGTTTATGATCTACAGAATCAACGAATTCGTTGTTGATAAAGAGACCAGTGTGAACTGTATACGTAAAATATCATCAATACTTTGAATGAAAAATTACAAAACAAATTCATAAGAAAAGACCATAAAAATTCTACCACTGGCGGTCTTTCCGTTCGGTAAGGTAATTTTTTCTTCGTTTGGATGTGTACTGTTGAGAATGATATAAATCAAGAATTGTCGCCATCATGAAATAAGGAAAATGAAATAATATCAAATAACATTCTATATAATTATTTTTTGTCAGAATTTACCGAGACAACCTAGCAATGTTACGTACAAAATACGTATATTTACCATTAATAAGACGAAAATTTTTCATTATCGAAAAATCTACAGAAAAAATCGACAATCAATCTAAATTGACGTAGATCTTGATTTAATCTGCCACATCTGGCATCATATCTTGTGACACACATGTTGTCTTTTCGAGCATATTCACAAGAGATATTTTCCAAACTATTTGAGATGTCCTAAACTATGTGATAGCATCCAATATTTCAAACCATAAGGTAAAATACCTAATATGACAAATATTAGCACAACGCGAGTTATGTGTAAATAGTTACAGGTTTATAGAAAGTTGATTTCGTTGAGTGGTAATTTGTAAATTTATTTTATTATTATTTTTTTTAAGTTAAAATCCCTATCTTTGGGGAGCAATTTTTTTATTCAAGTTTTTGTTGGACACAAGTGTCTTCAAGGGTTCCCTTACATTGGAGGTTGCAACTAGTCACATATGTATTTTTGATGCCTAATTTAAGTAGTCCGCCTATATATTATTATACAGATTCTATACTAGATGTCATACCTGCAAGTCAACTATGAGTCTTGTCTATTTAAATCTTCTGCATATATAATTCTCTTATATCAGAGTACAGCTTATTCAAGTTTTTGACACTTATTAATACACTTAAGAATATATTATTTTTGATAGGAAACTTACTAGAGCTTGTCATATCATACACATAGTTGACTTAGTTTTATATAACATGTTATAGTTATCTAACACTGCAATCTCAGGGGTTATCTGTTTAATCACTATATTACATTATTTTTATTCTTATAAAATTCATTAGGATTCTAGTATTTATCTTTTCAATATCTTTTTCATTATCTTTTATTAATTATTACTCAAAACTAACAGATTCTGGTTAGATTACTTATAAAATCACTTTAGAATTTTTAGGATACTCTTTGTTTGTATCTTGAAAAACCAATTTATATTCATTTCAAACCCAAATTTTAAAAATATCTGTATTAGGTTTAGCCTATATGAATATCATCTTCTAAATTGTATAATCTAAAGAAGAACTTAATCTAATAACTAAATTACTATATTCTTCTACTAAATAATCAATATTCAAATTAATTTAATTAAGTCTATTTTAGTTATAAATTTCTTTAGTACTTCAATATGGTTTTTTAGATCTTTAATTTATTTTATTTTTAAAAATTAATCTTTCAAATTTTTTGAATATTGGTTTATATTTAACAATAAACAATCTTAAGCTATTAAATTAATAAAAAAAAAGATTTTTAATCTTATTAATATTATTAGTATAAAGAAAATCATTGATAAATAAATTGTTTATATTATTAATATAGTAATTATTCAACCTTAGAATATAGATTACATAACATTATTCTTTATTATACTATAGTCAACTAAATCTGATTCAAATACTTTATTGTAGTAAAATACAAGTCTTTATTTCTTTAAATTTATACTAAATTATACAATTTTCAATTTATATTTATATAATATTTATAATATTTAGGATATTTAATTCTAGTATTACTTCTTTAATTATTTTTAATAAATTAATAATTCTAATCTTCTTAGTATTACAACTTGAATCAGACTCTAATATTTACAAAACAACTTATAGTTCTTTTTAATATTTTATATTATTTTAAATCAATTATTGATGATTTTAATAAATACTTATTAAACTTCAAAATTATTTAATTTTTTATTCATCTTGACTTAATAATTTCAACTAATCTGAATCTAATATAATTTCATATAATTAATAATAGTAACTAGTTATTAGAATAAATTTTATCTTAGTATTCTAAATATTCAACCTTTAAAAAATAACTTAAACAATCAAATATTATATATTTTAAACAACTTTGTATAGTTAATAATAATATTTTATTAAACTAAAAATATTTTTTCTTTAAACTATATACTTATCTAAATATAGAAACCTTTTTAATTTTTTTATTTAGAGAATATAATTCTAGTATATTTTTATTATTAAAATATATTATTATATTACCAATTATCTGATTATAACTCTTATATCTATCATATTATTAATATATCTAAAAAACTTATAAAATCTAAATTTAATTATTTTTATATTACAATAATTAAATTATTATTAGAAAATATTAAAATATTTTCTTTTATCTAACTATTACTTTATTACTTTCTAGATTTTTAATATAAATTTAAATTACTTCTCTTAAACTTATATTACAGAAAACCCAAAACTTATATTAATTCTATCTATAATCACTACACATTATACATAGAAGATAACTTGTATTGGCTTGAATGTAGTGCAAACCTTATACTTTTTAATCAGCTAGTCTAACAAACTATACACAAGTTTTGTATAAAATACAAAATTGAAAGTAGTAATATATCTGTTTTATTATAATAATTTACTTCAATACAAAATGCTATTCAATACTTTTTTCAAATACAAGACCTAATTCCAAATAATATACTCATAAACTGCAATATTATTTTAAGTTTATTTGTTAATCTATTTTATAAAATATCAAGTAATATATACAAGCAAATATAGACAGAAAGATACAAAGCAGTACATCAAAATAATCTATTAACAAATATACTTACAGTTGCTGCATTAAAATAATCTACTAAAAAATACACTTACAGTTGCTGCACTTGAACACCTAGTTACAGATCAAATAACTAAAACAAAATATAAAAAATAAACAAATATTTTTTTTATTACAATTATAACTATTTTTTATATAATAACACTAAACCTAGAAGAGGTCTAATAGTTTATTCTAGTACAGTTTTGGGTTAAGAATAATTAGTTTTAGCTATAGGTCTCTGTAATAATTTATATAAAATGGTTTAATTAATGTAATACTAAATTGTTCAATAAAGACTAAGACCAGGACTTATTCTATAAAAAAAAAAAAAAAAATTAAATTAGAAAAAGATAGAAAAGAGTTATATTTAGAAGAGATTAAAATATAATTATTAAGAAATAGATTAAGTAAAATAAAGATAGAATTAAAAAAGTTAAATCTAAGAGAAAGATTATAAAATATAAAAAGAAAATAATAAAAAATAATAATATAATTAGATAAGAAAAAGTTATTAGAAAAATATATATGAGTTTTATAATAGGATGAATTAACAGAAAATGTAATATTTAATACAGTTTTATTATTGTTGTATTTGTCAATATATTGAATTAAGATTTAAATTATTTGACTATAAGAAAGAAATAATATATTATAATAAAAAAAGTTTGTTAAAACATATATAAAGATTATAGGAAATTTAAAAATATTAAAGATGATCTTACAAAGTTGTCTTCTATGAAATTGATTATTGTATGCTTAACTCTTACAGTTATAGTCTTTCTTGTATATTAGATCTAACTATCATTATTTTGATCTTTTATATACAAAGACTTGTTGGTTATCTTCATATATCATTTTTATTACTAACTATAATTAATTGTATTTTTTAATAAAGCAATAGTTGTATTTATATGTTTATAGAAAACAAATAGGTTTGTATATATTTTATTTATTGTTTGTATAAATGATTGTATATAGTTTCCATTCTATATGCTTATACTAACTCTTATATAGTTTTATCTTATATTTATACTAACTATTTTATAATATTTAAAAGTACATATATATATATCAGTTTGTATTTTTTTATATTTCTAATTGTAATCTTTTTGCAATTATTGTCTTTTAGATATAAACATTATACTTAAAACTTTTTAAGTAACTTCTCTAATTAGTATTTTCGTAAATTTTGTAACACAAATTAACTGCAAATTTTGTTATCAACTTTATTTGGTTTGTGCTACAAATTACAACTGATAAGTTAACATTTTTCCAATCAACATTCTTCTCAAGACATGCTAATATTTCTAATTAAGTTAATATCTCACTTAAAACATACAAAGTTTTATATTCAATATTTGTGAATGCCTACAGCAAAAGGAAAGGATAGGACTATATATTATATAGTTCCATCTTCCTTTTTGCTGTGGGTGTTCTCATTTATCGCTGATGAGAATTGAATCTTAAACCTTATTATTTGAAGTGCAACAACTTGATCATTTTATTAAATCATCACACTCTGTTATAATAACTTCTTAATATATATAGTTTTTAATTTATTTTTTTTTGATATTAAGATGAGGCCTTGCTCATATCTTTATTAGTAATTTTAGTTGTACATATTAATATACTATATACTAAGATATACTATGATTGTAAACTACAAAATAAAAACTACATGCAAGAATTAAAGCTCAGATATATAGTTTTTAATAATATAGTAGGTTTATATAATTATATATAAAAAAAGATTAAAAATATACACATTAAAATAATAACTAATCAAATTGATTTAAGATTACATAGTAAAAACTTAAAAAATTTTAACTAATCAATATATAAAAAATTTAACCAATCAAAATTTACCAATTTTAAAAATATCAAAAATCAACATTTTGAATTAAATTTTTAAAATTTTAAATTTTAAAAATGAAACAAATATAGTTTTTAAGTGATGTGCATTATATAAATAATAAATGTTTTTGATCTGATCTATTTTAATTACTTAATAAACTTTATTGTTTATTAATATTCACTATCAGCTAATTTTTTAAAATAAATAAAAGCTTTATATTCATCCTGCTTAGTGCCTATTCCAAATTGATAACAACAACCAACACTATATATTCCATCAGCATCACCCATATTAGCAGATTTTTGATAATAGATAAATGCTTTATTTTCGTCTTTTTCGACACCAATTCCGTGTTGATAGCAATAACCAACCATAAATATCCCGTCAACAATTTCCATTTCTGCCGATTTTTGATAATAAATGAATGCCTTACGTTCATCCTTTTCGATTCCAATTCCATCTTGATAACAGTAACCAACATAATACGATCCATCAGCATCACCCATTTCAGCAGATTTTTGATAATAAACGAATCCCTCGCGTTCATTTTTTTCAACTCCAATTCCATGATGATAACAATAACCAACATTAAATGTCCCTTTAGCATAATCCATATCAGAAGATTTTTGATAATAAATGAATGCACTATGTTCGTCTTTTTGAACACCAATTCCATTTTCATAAAAGACACCAACACCACATGTTCCTTCGGCATTTCCCATATCAGACGACTTTTGATAATAAATGAATGCCTTATTTTCATCTTTTTCAACACCAATTCCAAGACGATAACAAAAACCAACGCTAAGTATTCCATCGTCATCACCCATATCAGCTGATTTTTGATAATAAGCAAAAGACATTTGTTCATCCTTTTTAACACCAATTCCATTTTGATAACAATAACCAACATAATATATTCCAGCAGCATTACCCATATCAGCGGATTTTTTATACCAAATGAACGCTTCATTATTATCTTGTTTGACACCCACGCCATTTTTATAACAATGGCCGAGAGAAAGCATTCCATTAGCATGTCCCATATCTGCTGATTTATTATGATAAAAAAAGGATTTGTTTTCATCCTTTTCAACACCTATTCCTTCTCTATAGCAATAACCAAGTTTATTTATTCCATAAGAATAATCCAGATTAGTAGCCATTTGATAATAAAAGAATGCTTTTATAAACACCAATTCCATTTTCGTGTAATTCACCAAGATCAGTTATTCCGTAAGCATTTCCCATATCAGCAGACTTTTGGTAATAAATGAACGATTTATGTTCATCCTTTTCAACCCATTTTCCATAACGATAACAGCGAGCGAGAATGATTAGGATTATAGAATTTGTTTGACACTTTAAGCATAAATTAATTAGATCTTCCTGCTTTAAATTATTTTTTGCCATATATTGTTCTATTGAATTAAGAAATTCTGGATCATAATTTCCTTTTAATACTTCTTTTTCATGCAATTTGCATAAATCATTTATAATTGTTTCATTTGTAAAATCTTGAGATTCACCAACATTGTCTTGACTTTGGTGGTTATGAGTTTCGCTTTTTGCTAACTGTTCTGCAAGTGGACCATTATAAATAATTTGAAAGTCTTCATTTGCCATTATTATTAACAAAAAAATTATGGAGTTATATCGATATTTAGTGAATATATAGTTATTCTTTTGCAGTATAAATTTACGTTAAACTTTAGTTCATGAGTTAAATTACGGTTTTAATTGAAAATCGATTACGTAATAAATATTTACGTACTGTCACACAATGGAAGAATTTTTTTGTTAGTAATCCGATTGAGGTCTAGATTATTAAGTCACAATTATTGGCCAAGTTCAATCATCGTTATTGCCATTATTACATTAAATTTTTTAATTTTAATTTTAATTGATAATTTGTTTTTATATGATCTCCGAATGATCGTTTTTAATGCACGAGCAATGTAAGTAATGAATCATGCATGCACTGACCAATTAGACAATATTTTAGATTGCCCCTTAGTCGGTTTACAATGTTATGTACGCATGTTTTGCGATATAGTTTATGTAACTGAGAAAAAGTTTAACGTTAGTGATTGATCACCTAAATTATTAACCAGAAAATGGTTATTTATACCAAAAGCCAATACATAAAAAACCAGGCCAATCAATCATTCCTTCACTTGGACAATTAATAATAAGTCAGTTGGATATTGATAAAGTGATTGTATATAAAAGTGAACATTCTCCATCAATAGAGAGATATATGTTTCAGCGATGTTTTAAAAGCATAATTAGCTAAAAAAATTTAAATTTGACTGCTCAGCATATTCCAATATATTTAGTAATTGTTATATATGTTGTTAATTAAATAAATACTTTTAAGATCTGAACTTTATCGAATATATTGATTTAACTGCTTATCTTGAATTGGAAATATTTCTTTTATTGAAAAATAACCTGTATTGCTAACGCTTTTTCGAATAAATATAACAATATGCACATTCTTTATTTTGATTATAATTATTACCGTTATCGTTACCACTCCGAGACCATCAAAAAAATAAAGCTTCGCTATATCCCCTCCTGCTAATTTATTCATCTCATTTCATTATATAGGATTATAGTCACCAATAATTTCATTAATTTTTTAACCTTCATTACCACGATAGTGCATACTTGTTTATCAAATATTTTCTAAAATAATTTTATAGTAAATCTATTTCTAGCTTGCAGAAGAGCAATTTAACTCATACGGCTATTTATTATTGAGTTTATTTCAGTTTTTTGTCAACCCATGTGTTTCATCAATAATTGTTAGAAATGATTTCCTAGCCGGCAATGTTTATGCCAAAGTTATACGAGGTGGAAGGATTGTTAATAAATTCGTTCATTTGGATTTACTGCACATTATCAATATCATATCTAGATATTTGAATATAATGAAAAAATTTTGCGATATAGCTTCGACTCCCATTTAATATATAAGTTACAAATTTTATTTCTTCCATTTCGAAATTAATTGGTTTGATATTATTTGTACCTTAAGTAGTGCCATCATGAAATTATGGTGACCTGTCTTGAATTAGTTGGTTGGGCTTGGAATATCTTTATTTGTCGATTACCGATTACGTTAAAATCTTTATCATCAATAAGTTCAAAGTGATCTGCTGAAAATTTTTCTGTCATTGTTATTTGAAATGTTTCGTAATAAATCTGTCTATAAATACTAATAAACATGGCTGTACTACACAAATTCAGCATTGTTGTACAATATTGATTATAAGAATTAAGCCTTTTCAACCTTTTTATATTGTAAAGTTAAAATAAAACATGCGCAACGCATCACAAATTAAAAGCATTAAATAAAATTTTTGCATTTACAATTACTAGGATGAAAACTACTACCACAAGTCAAATTTCTTTTTTACATTTATAATGATTTTTGATTTTTGTCACGCGAAGAGGATTGCATAATAGGTGCTCTTCGAACGCTTGTGAGCACTGAAGAAATATTATCCAACTCTGGAAACTTGTCGAGATTCAATGAGCACAGAAAATAGCTTTGAGTCAAATTTAATAAGTTGAATTTTAAGGTTCGTGTTTCGCGTGGCAAATATATAGTATTTTTTTTCAATAGCGATCCTGTGACACTTTAATATAGAAATCAAAGTCTTCAAGTATAATAAAGGTTTTACGTTGCCCATTAACCGACTTGCTGCTGCTGAGGTATTTGGAAAACAGTTAATCAAATACATTATAAGATAAAAATATATATATATAATTATATATACTATATATTTTTATTATATATACCAAAATATATATCTAAAAAAAAAACAAATTAAAAGTTAGGCCATATAAACTTAATAAATTGATTCTCATAACCCGGCCGGGTTAAATTTCATAAAAGCTTTAAACTTTTTTTAGCTGTATAGGGAATGTCAATAGAAACCAAGCAAATTGTTTTTAGTAAATTTTTTTTTAAACTTTGAATTAAAATATTTAAACAACTATCAAACAAACTTGATAAAAATTTTTTAACTCTATATTTATAAAATAAAATAAAAAATTTTTTATCAAGTCTCGTTTAATAGTTGATGAAATATTTTAATTCAAAGTTTAAAAAAAATTTAATTATAAATGGCTTCTACTGACACCCATATCTACTATCCACTGGGTGATAACCAAAATTCAATGGTATCAGAAGTTAATTATCTGATGCTTTATAAGAACTGGTATAAAACAAAAGTATGATTTTTTTTATAATCCTATTTACAGCGCTAATTTTATAATTAATATTTTGTAGCTATTAAAATCATTCTATGTTTGTAACCAATATATTTATTTTATTTATGATATTTAGAAGGAACAAAAGGCATCTTTACAATTTTGGCATCTTGTAATTTATTCCTAACTTTAACTTTAAGCAAAGTTCCATTCTTGTGATATCCAGATTTGACGTACCCCATTGCAATATTTTTATTTAACGTAGGTGACGGACCACCGCTTGTTACTTTGCCTAATGTTTACAATATAAAAAAAATAATAATTTATTAAATCTAGGAATTTTATAATTACAATAATTACAGAAAAGCAAGCATACCAACTAATTCATCCGAAGAATTATAAATTTCCGAATTTTCTGTATAAAGATAAAAGCGAAAAATTGTATTTAAATGTAAAATAAAATAAGCAATAAGAACTTAAATAATAGTACCTCTTGCGGGTGCACCCTCAACAATAAGACCAACACGACGACGTGTTACGCCTTCTTTAAGTTGTGCAAGAATTCGATCAGCACCTAAAAAGCCACCTTCTACTCTACGACGTTTTCCTAATGGATTTTTTAAGTCAAATAAATGCTAGAAAAAATATATATATACATCATAAATATAATAATACCGATTGTCCAAGATAATCCTGCTTCCACAGGCGTTATTGAATCATCAAGGTCATGCCCATACAAACACAAACCAGCTTCGAGGCGTAAACTGTCACGCGCGCCAAGTCCAGCCAAATGCACACTTGGATAACCCAATATTAACTTTGCCAGCCGTTGAGAACTCGACGCAGAAACGGAAATCTATATGACCAAGATCAAAACCATAAAGTTTCAAATTTATATTACGACCAAATTCGAATAACAAAACCTCATAAAATTATTGCGGTTAAAAAAGTAGGAATTAAATTCTCTTCGTTTGTGCAAAGATCTTGCAATTTCAGAATGAAATGTTTCAGAAAACGTCCACAAACATATATTACTACGTTTTCTTTCACAAAATTGCAAGTTATTTAGCCATTTTGACATTAACTACAATGTTTCAAATCACATGTAAAACTTACTTCAAAACCATCTTCACCAGTATATCCAGAACGTGACACGTGGCTTTCGATAGTTTTAAAATGAATAAAACGGGAAGTCATGAACTTAAAATCTGATAAATCTTTATCACATAATTTTTTAAGAATTTCAGCAGCTAGAGGACCTTTAACATAGAATATTATAAGTATTGTTAAATATAATACATATATATATTTATTCACTTTAATAGTACCTTGTAAAGCCAGTAAAGCACGATCGTCGATAACTTTTAAGTCAACCCATCCGCCTTTTTTTTGAAATTCACCAATTTTAGTACGTATATGATCTAAATCTTTGTCTGCACAGGCTGCATTAGATACGACATAAAGATGATCGGCGTGTTTACAAATGACTGTATCATCAATAATTCCACCATTCTCATTAGTGAAAACAGATAAAACCGAGGCACCAAATGGCATCTCCTCTATATCGGCAACAACCAAGCTTTCAAGAAAACGTATGCGATCTTTTCCGAGAATTCTACACATATATCAAAAATTGTCACATGATTAATAATAGAAATTAGAATGAAGAGATAAATTAAAAGAAACATTTCCTACCTAAACTGAAGCATATGTGAAACATCAAATAAAGAAGCATATTCACGCGTGTGCAAGTGCTCCGATAGAATACCTTGATTTGCATAATGTACCGGCATTGACCAGCCAGCAAAAGGAACCTTTAAACAATCAAAATTGGTATAATCATAAACCCAACATAGGCAAAATTTTGATGATTATAATATAATTTACCATTTTACCACGTTTTTCATTATGAAGGTTATATAATGGCGTCTGTTTCAACTGAAAAATATAATAAATAAATGTGTGTATAATCAGTGAACTTAAAATAAGATTTTAAAGATGAAACTTACGGATGACGAAACCCCTGATGAAAGATGAAAGGACCAAACCCTTACACAAAAATTCAAGCCTCTTATGGTATAAATTATCGAACAAATAAAAAGGGTTGGTTTTTTTTTTAATCCGTTTATTTCTGATATATATTATGGATCCTAGAATTATCCATTATCGAATATTTTTGAAATAGCCAATAATTCAGGTCGTCTAAAGCCGTGGATCAATATGAATAAAAAAAGATGGAAAATTATAAAAAACAGATAGCTAACAGGGTCGGTCTGGGTTGGACCTGTAAGAGTTTAGTACTGGTCAAATTGGTCAAACAGCATGTATATTATGAATCAGTCATATTAAAATCTATAAGTATCGGACTTATGTAAATAAACAACATATAAAAAGACCGGAATGACAATAATTTTTTTAAATACTATTTATATTAAATGTGATAAATAATTTGTATGATTTCATATATAAATTTATAGTATGCCCACCGCTCATATATGTAATGCATCAAATTTAATATTTGCATCAGATTAAAATAATTATAGTCCCGCTGAATACCTACCCTTGCACTTTCACCCTAACCCTAATAAAATTTGATTTGACGTACAACATATACAAGATTTATTTATTTGTAGAATAAAATTATTTAATTAATAGACCAGACCATTTTGAACCAGTTTGACCAGAGACCCTTTGGCATTGAACAGTAAATTGCTAGATGTCTAAAGATTTGCCAACTCTGATAGCTAGTCTATACTATATGCGCCAATACCTTTGATTTAATGAATCAAGTGAAAATTTGTGACAACGGTATAGGTAATAGAAATATTTACTAAACCGTGGTTATATTCCATTGTAAAGACGTGTCAACACGTCCTTACAATGGAATACAACCCAGTGAAATAAATATTTCTGCTCCCATAGACAGCGTACGGCTTTAGACGTTTCCCTTGTCTGTCATAATGACATGGTATACTCTGAACGATAATACGCATCATGATATTTTGAATCTAGATGTCTTTATAATTTTGTCAGGAGTTTCGTCATTCATCTTGCAATATCATCAATTAAGGTTTAAGCATTTTACAATCAAATTGACTTTTTTAGTTACCTTTTCTGGTACAGCGGCAAAGTTGCGCTTAATAGTTACCATCGGTAGAGAAACATTAAAGGCCATATTGGAAAACCCTTTTAGGTTTTTACTTGCTACTGTACCAATAAGCCTCAGATGAAACCACGTACTCATCATATCTGAGTGAATATAATCATGAAATTATTCTAAAAAAAAACCTTTGTAAAGTATACAAAATACTCTTCTTCGGACACTTACTTTCAAAATCTTTCTATTTTCAGTGTAATTGAGTATATATTGTCATTAAATTGTTATAATGCATTATTTTGTGAGAGGTTCGAAATATTGTGCAATCGTGTAAAAAAAAAGATTTATTCAAGATTGGACAAGTTATCATAGAGTTGTACAAGATACAATTTTATACTGATCGGAACAGATTAGTGGCACAACCACATAGAGTAACTTGGCTAATCACATGAAATTGGATAGCTTTTAGTGAACCAGCACATGACAATTGACCAATTCAATGAATTTTGGAACTATTAATGATATTTAAAGTTTATCCCTTACGCCGTAAATTAACTACATATTTACTATGATTTATACTATAGTCTAATATAATTTGATACGTAGCTTAATCACATATCAATCATGAAATTTCGAGGAAAATTTGCCTGCAAGACGGTGTAAGGGATAAACGTCTAAATAGTTTTATTTTTATGTAAAATTCTTGTGCATAGTAATTTAACAAATCGGTTTATCCTTTTTAAAGTTATTTTTCTCAATAATTTAACTTATTTCGGTAATATATCGCCATTTCCCTGACAGGTTATTTACTAGACACTACACTTTATGACAATTCACCCTCCATATAGTCACCTCCCATATAATCACATAGAGTTGACCCGAAACACGAAACCTTTCCGAAACCTTCAAATTAAAATCTTTATAGCTGATGCACATTTACTATAAAGTAACCAAAATATTTCTGCAATGCAATCTAATTATCATGTACTTTATGCCTTAAAGTCTAAAATTAAATTTCCAAGCCTTTCAGTATAGTATTATAATTCGGAAAAGGTTTTGGAAAAGGTTTTGGAAAAAGGTTTCGGGATTTTATATATAGTTTTGGGTCACAACTCTAATATGTAATCACATTTATATTTATGATTTAATATATAAGAAAACTCCATATAAGCACATTTTTAAAAGATTTTGCCATGACTGTAACAATATATACCTACAACAAATAAAATTCTAAATTGCCACTATCTGTCATGTCGAGTAAACGGCGTGTCGGGAATAATTTTCGATGAAATAGAATACATATATATATACAGTATATATATATTTTTACCCTATTGGCATAATCGCCTCAGGACGCCACGTGGCGACAATCTTTTAGTCTCTCCACCATTCGGGTTCGGGTACTGGATATTTTACTTCTTTAAATGTTCCTAATTAACTAGAATCTCCCCGGATGCGAGGAATCCTGATTCGTATTTTTGTTCTTATTATTAACGCGTCACCTGACTGTGGTTGATCTTCAGAATCGTGATCCTGGCACAGTTCTTGCTCCCGTTAGACCCGAACCGGCGACTTTCGATTTGGACCCGGGAGCGCAACCACTTCGCTAACGACCCACGGGTCTTGGCCATATATATTTCAATAGATACAAACCGTAGGATTTTCACAGAAATGTCTTAGTGTTTGTTTTTCACTTATAAAATGTTACACACTTAAAAAATACGAACGTATGTACGTTGTAAGATGCCCAAGATCGTTTCCGAGGTGGTTCAATCCAACTATCAAAATTGGCTGGATCTACCCAAACATGCTAGATTTAAATTACTGTTATGAAGAATTTTTTTTAAAAAAGAGTAAATTTATTTATCGCACTGTGCGATAAGTCTTATACGTTTCTCTCACATAATAGACCAATCGAATTTCAAGATCAATGAATACTTCCATTAAAAATAAAACGATAAATTATAGCCAATCAAACTCACTATTTATCATGTAAAAGTTTTTGGCAACTGAAAATTTTATTTAAAATTGATTTATGACTGGCTAAGAGTTTTCGGGAAATAATGAAATAATTTATGCTCTTTTTGTCCCTCATTGAGGGGTTTATCAAAAAAAAAAACTACGAAATACAATTATGGGTATTCTGTCCCATCCGCTTCGTGCTATACAAACTCACAGTGCAGAACTCAAGAGTTCGATTGCTTTGACAAGATTATCTTCCCATGCTAATATCTAACCCTATTTAGATAAATTTATACCATACCGGGTACAAAAACCAACAATTATGACTATCTTCGTGACTGCCGTCCCAGCAGGCCACATCTATTTCACAATATTTGAGTGACTGTCGTCTCGACAGGCCATCTTAACTATCCACTACTGGCCATCAGAACATAATTTTATGCAGCTGCAATACCTACGTGGGATGGGTAGGACGGGGCGAAAAAATCAGAGCACATCCGTTCCCCTTAAACATTACTAATCAAAAAAAAATACGTCATTACATCACTAACGTCAAATAAATCATACGATAGCTTGATAAAACCAATTACGCAATAAAGAAATAATCAATCAAGTAATTAATCTATTAACAATACGTCAATCAAGCAATAAATCAATATGTCGATAATAACAATGGATCGTATACTTAATAAACCCATGATCGATTCGAGACAAAATGCTGCTCCGATACTATCGTATCGGGCAGCCTATTTTGTCCCTCATCGAGGGTGTTATTAAAGAAAAAACTACGAATTATAATTATGGGTCTTCGTAGAGCATCATTACATAGGATGTTTTCACACATCTGTTCTTTTCCTTAACTAAATGAAGCCCATTAATCTTGAAGCTTCCATTTCTGATGTACTAACTGCTCTCATATATAACTGAACTGCTCCTGATGTCTATCTGACAATTTACTTGATTTGTTCCATCATCATTCCTTCCCTCATGGTTGCTGTTGCATCTCAATCCTTAGACTATGCATCATCTACTTTCCCTGCAACCTTGTATTCTCTGCAAAATGGTTAACAATTGCAGAATAGTTGTCATTGATAACCTTTCTCTTATTGACAAGAATAATTTTTTTTTTACTGAAGTTCTTGACTTCAGCCTCAGACACTTTACAACAATTTAATTGGCAGAGTTTACCTGTAATTGATTTTATGAGAATAACTTTTCTTTTCTTAACTGATCTGTCTTAAATTTCACAATCCTAACACATTATTTTCTATTCTTTTCTAAAATATTTGTTATTTTCAGATTATATAGTTCTATTGGTCACTGCATTAGTCTTAAACCCAAAGTCACTAAAATTAGATTTCAAACTCAAATTATTATATTAATCTCAAATATGAGAATTTCATATATTACCTAATTACTACAATTAGTAATAGTTTTTCAGCTATTTTACTTTTTTTTTTTCTAGATCAGTTACTTTTTCATTCTTTTTACTATTAAACAAATCGAATTTGCTTTTGTTGGGTTTTTTAGGTTCCTTATTTTATGTTTTCTGGTTACTGTTACCAAGAGAATTGATATTTCTAATATTTTATTTAATATCTTTATCCAAGTTAGAAATATTACTAGTAGTTTTTTTGATGCTAGGTATGGTACAAACATTGCCTAATATGCAAATTTCTCAAAAATGTTATGAGTTTCTTTTAACTGCTTTCTGTATATCTTATTAATTATTTATCAGATATTTAATTTTTTTAATAATTTTTAAACCAATCTAGAAACATAGTTTTTAGATATTACTAATTATTTTAATATAGTTTTATATTCTCTAATAGTTCTGATAATATAATCTAACTTGTTGAAGGAAGATTGATTTTTTTTTAGTAAGTTTATTATTAATAACTATCATGAAGCTAAGATCTAAAGGGTATTATTATAACTATCTAAGTTTTACATTTTTTTGCATAAAATAATGATTTATAAATTTGTCTGAATGAAGGTTATATATAGTTCCTTATTTTTACTTAATTTTAGATGAAACAATCTACTGTTTCTGATATTAAACAGAAATATAAACTATTAAATCTTTGTTACTTTATATTCAAGTAATTTGTAAATCTATTTATTTTGAATTTTATTATATTAACTCTAACTGATCTACTATTTCTGTTTTCAATATTCAATCTTTTGAACTGGCACTTTTTATTAGAAAATTTGCTAAATTTAAATTAAAAGATACCCACTATGTGCTAAACACTGCTATGTCATTTCATATACAACTTTTAAATTTGCCTTTTAAAGTTTTTTTGTCACCTCTTTAGGCATTCTTTTATTATGTTTTTAAAGCAATTTTGTTGTTGATAAACAAGCTAATCCAACTCTTTTTTTATAGTTTTATAAAAAACTACAGTACTATTAGCATAATCAATACCTTTAGCTATGCAATACCTTTTGCTATATGAGAATATATCTAACTTTCTGAAGTCTTGTATTTGCAAAAAATTCTATATCAACCTGTTATTAATGTATTCATATATACTATACTCTATTTGAAAAAATTTTCAGACTGGCCAATTATTTAAATTTCTTAAATTTTTTACTAGTCAATAGATATTCTTAATCACTTGTAATAAAAGTTTGATTTTGTTATTCTATTTTCAAGTAAAACAGATTTATACATCTATTAATACATAAAAATCTATGTATTTTACTTGGCTTGATAAAAATATCTATAACCATTTCTGTTATTAATATCAGATTTTTTGTTATTACTAATAGTACTTTTAGCAATGCTTTTAGCTTTAATATAATTGTATCTATCTTTTTTTCTAATATGCTATACATTTTTTCAATATGTTTACAATTATTCTGCAAAACTTTAACATCTGTATGAAGATTTAGCTTTTTTTTTTCTTAGGCCTAAACTGTTCACAATTTTTTAAATCAGTTTTTATAATTTTTCCTTTATTTTTATTAATTTTATTTTTGTAAATGTATTATTTATATATTATTTAAATAGCAGTTATAATAAATTTTCTGAGATTATTATTTTTTGATTATGGCCTCTATTAGCTTTAAAAAAAATACTAAAAGATTGATTTAGTCCAAATAACAAAATT